TTGATCTTGGGTCTCAACTGGTTCTTGCTGTGGACTCCAATATGAATCTTGATGCTCGTTAGCTGCAACCGCTGGTTAATTCTTCATCTTTTGGATCAAGGCGGGACATGCGAAGCTTATGACCTCAATCAAATTTTGAGCAGTCTGCATCCTTCTCCACTTCAGCACTTTGAGTTCACTTCTTTTTGTTCCTTTTCTTCTTTTCTTTATTTTGGATTGAGAGTCATTCTTTTGGTCGTCTCGAACCCTGTGCCTCGAGGTCAAACCTGCTCAGACACCAAAACAAACAAACGAACAAAATTTTTCTGTCCCAGTTTTCACTAGAAAAATTTTGTGAGTTATTTGTAGCTAAGATCTAAACCTTTTTTCATTTTTTTTTGAAAGCGATAAAATAAGGATTGTGTATCTTTAGGAGGAAAGATTAGGGAATGGAACCCTATATCTAAAATTCTCAACTAGGGAATGGAGGCCTTATGTTGGCAAAAAATGCGACTAGAAAAAAATGCGACTAGGGAATGAAGGCCTTATGTTGGCAAAAAATGCGACTAGAAAAAAAATGCGACTAGGGAATGGAGGTCCTATGTCTAAAAATCTCAACTTTGGGATTGGAGCCCTAATGTTGGCAAAAGGTGACTAGATAATGGAGGCCCTATGTCTAAAATCTCAACTTAGGGGTTGGAACCCTAATGTTGGCAAAAAGGCGACTAGGGAATGAAGGTCCTATGTCTAAAATCTCAACTCAGGGATTGGAACCCTAATGTTGGCAAAAGGCGACTAGGGAATGGAGTCCCTATGCCTAAAAATCTCAACTCTGGGATTGGAGCCCTAATATTGGCAAACAAGGCGACTAGGGAATGGAGGCCCTATGTCTAAAATTTCAACTCAGGGATTGGAGCCCTAATGTTGGCAAAAAGGCGACTAGGGAATGGAGGCCCTATGTCTAAAATTTCAACTCAGGGATTGGAGCCCTAATGTTGGCAAAAAGGCGACTAGGGAATGAAGGTCCTATGTCTAAAATCTCAACTCAGGGATTGGAACCCTAATGTTGGCAAAAGGCGACTAGGGAATGGAGTCTCTATGCCTAAAAATCTCAACTTCGGGATTGGAGCCCTAATGTTGGCAAAAGGTGACTAGGGAATGGAGGCCCTATGTCTAAAATCTCAACTTAGGGGTTGGAACCCTAATGTTGGCAAAAGGTGACTAGGGAATGGAGGCCCTATGTCTAAAATCTCAACTTAGGGGTTGGAACCCTAATGTTGGCAAAAAGGCGACTAGTGAATGGAGGCCCTATGTCTAAAATTTCAACCTAGGGATTAGAGCCCTTATGTTGGAAAAAAGGCGACTAGGGAATGAAGGTCCTATGTCTAAAATCTCAACTCAGGGATTGGATCCCTAATGTTGGCAAAAAAGGCGACTAGGGAATGGAGGCCCTATGCCTAAAACNCCGAAAGGGATTCAAGGAAAAGTAAGCAAAAGGCAAGAAAATGAATTTAGAGAGAAGTGTCCCTATCGGGAAAGGAGGAAAGACTTATCTGGGGTGCATGCAGGCTTCAATAGACATGACATGCTTCTTGGACTGGATGCCCGACCCGCACAAACTTTCCCCACTTCTCATAAACCCATTGCGACCCGTGTTTCAAAACCGAGGAACCTTGCTAGGACTCTTTCAATACCAATGGTGGTGCGAGGTTTCTTCTTTTCGATCAACGGTTGCCCTTTGCGGGTTTCCGCCAATCGACCTTTCTCATTTCTCTTCTTACCATCGCCTTATAGTGCTCTTTTACGAGTTTTCACTAACAAGAATCTCTCATTTTCAATTTATCTGCTCATCATTGCCTTACGGTGCCCATAGGTTTTCACCAATAAGACTCTCTTATTTTATTTCTCTCATCTTGATTGCATCGAATCCAAACAACTGCGTTCTTTGTTTTTGAAAACCCTTCTCCGATTGATAGGAAGGACTTTGAACAAGGTTTGGGTAAAAAGAATCTGGACGGAATTACAACTTTGGAACCGTTCCGGTGGGCTCATTGCCGAACCATTATAACATCTGCCCCAGTTTCACTTTTAGGGGAAATTGGATGTTTGTTTTGGTGTGACTGAACCCCCAGAGAGAGGCTGCCTACGTATCGTTTCGGAATCAAGTCGAACGTAGTTCAGGGAGCTTTTTGTTTTTCGAGTTCCGAAGAGGGTAATGAAAGAAAAGTAACCGACTCAAAGGGTTAGCAAAACGATTAGAGTGTTTGGAGTAGCGAGAATGAAAGACTTCGTCATCCCAATCGGATAGTGCTATTACTGCAGAAGGACTAGACATAGTACCTTTTGACCGCGTCTGCGTTCACAACTGCCTCGGGGTCATTTCCTTCGATATCTCCCAGATATAACGCTCCTCTTGGTAATATCTTTCGAATAATGTATGGACCTTTCCAGTTAGGAGCAAATTTCCCTTTTGCTTCCTGATGATGAGGAAGAATACGCCTTAAAACAAGTTGTCCCACTTCAAAATTTCTGGGTCATACTTTCTTGTTGTAGGCACGGTCCATTCTTTGTTGGTACAACTGCCCGTGGCAGACTGCGGCCATTTGCTTTTCATCAATCAGGGTTAACTGTTCCAAACGGGCTTTGACCCACTCACTGTCTTCAATTTCAGCTTCAACAATGATCTGGAGAGTAGGGACTTCAACTTCCGCGGGTATTACAACTTTAGTGCCATAAACCAAAAGGTACGGGGTTGCTCCGACCGACATGTGCATAGTAGTGCGATACCCAAACAATGCAAAAGGCAACTTTTCATGCCACTGCCTGGAACTTTGAATCATCTTTCTCAAAATCTTTTTGATGTTCTTGTTTGCTGCTTCGACGGCACCATTGGCTTTAGGCCGATAAGGCGTAGAGTTCTGATGTGTTATCTTGAATTGTTCGCATATCTCCCCCATCAAATGACTGTTCAAGTTTGCAGCATTGTCTGTTATAATAGTTGCAGGAATACCAAAATGGCAGATAAGATTGGAGTGCACGAAATCTACCACAGATTTCTTGGTGACAGATTTGAGAGTGATTGCATCAACCTATTTCATGAAATAGTCGATGGTGACCAATATGAATCTGTGCCCATTTGAGGCTTTTGGCTCAATTGGCCCAATGATGTCCATGATCCAAGCAACAAATGGCCATGGCTCGTACATGATTCTTCCGACTTCTTCGCCGTCAACACATCTTAACAAGTTGAGGCCCGGGGTCCTTTTGTACAGGACATCACCACTCAAAAAGAAACCACTTATATGCCGTCTAATGGTTCTCTTTTGGTCTCCACTAGCTTGCTCGGGGTATTCTTTGGTTTTCAATTTTTTTTGATGTCATGATACCATGGCTGAATATTTGGTTCTGCCTCAACCGTATTACAATAGCCATGCATTTCCCTGATTTGGATTTCCAAGGGATCAATGTGGGCATTGCCTCGGTATGGCAGCATCGAGGCCAAAGTAGCAAGCGCATCGGCTAGTTCGTTATGGAAACGGGGGATGTACCTGAACTCTATTGACTTGAATCGCTTGCCAAGATCTTCCACATGTTGCCTATAAGGAATAAGCTTGACATCTCGGGTTTCCCATTCTCCTTGAGCTTGTCGAATAATCAGATCCGAGTCTCCCATGATTAACAACTCTTCGACATCTTGGTCGATTGCCATGTTTATACCCATAATACAGGCTTCATACTCGGCAGTATTGTTTATGTAGAAAAATCGAAGCCTAGTTATGGTCGGATAATGCTGACCAGTGGGTGAGATCAAGATTTCCCCAATTCCATCACCCTTTGCATTTACTGTTCCATCGAAGAACATTTTCCAAGCATTGGTGTCTTCGAATATTGCCTCAACTGAATTTACCTCTTCATCCGGGAAGTAAGTGTTCAAAGGTTGGTATTCATCATTGACCGGATTTTTAGCCAAATGATCTGCTAACGCCTGGGCTTTCATTGCAGTGCGAGTGACATAGACTATGTCAAATTTCGTGAGAAGGATCTGCCACTTTGCTAACCTCCCAGTGGGAATTGGCTTCTGGAATATGTATTTTAAAGGATCCAACCTGGTTTTGAGGTAAGTGGTGTAGGCTTGCAAATAATGCCTCAATTTCTGAGCGACCCAAGTTAAAGAGTAGCAAGTTCTTTCCAGTAAAGTGTACTTGGCTTCATAACTGGTAAACTTCTTGCTCAAATAGTAACTGGCCCGCTCTCTCTTTCCGGTCACATCATGTTGCCCGAGGACACAGCCGAAAGAATTTTCCAAGACTGTCAAATACAGGAACAGAGACTTCCCTGGCTCAGGTGGGACCAACACTGGTGGATTCGACAGATATTCCTTGATTTTATCGAAAGCTTCTTGCACTCGTTTGTCCATTTGATTGCCATATCTTTCTTCAGCAATTTGAATATGGGTTCACACGTGGATGTCAACTGAGCAATGAATCGGCTGATGTAGTTCAATATTCCCAACAAACTCACAACACCTTTCTTGGTTCTTGGAGGAGGCAAATCTCGAATAGACTTTATCTTTGTTGGGTCCAACTTGATGCCCCTCCAACTGACTATAAGAGTTTGCTGGATGGTACCCCAAATGCACATTTGGCTGAGTTCAGCTTCAAATCATATTTGCGCAACCGCTCAAAGAATTTTCTCAAGTCTCGAACGTGGTCGTCCTGGGTTTTGGATTTGATGATTACATCGTCCATATACACCTCTATATATTGGTGCATCATATCATGAAAAATGGCAATCATGGCCCTTATGTAGGTTGCCTCGGCGTTCTTCAGACCAAATGACATGACTCTGTAATAGTATGTACCCCAAGGTGTGGTAAAAGCTATATTATCTGCATCTTCTTCATCCATAAACACCTGGTGATATCCTGCGTAACAATCCACGAAGGACTGTATCTCATGTTTGGCGCAATTATCAACAAGGATATGGATGTTCGGTAAAGGGAAGTTATCTTTGGGACTTGCCTTGTTTAGATCCCTGTATTCCACACACACCCGGGTCTTCCCGTCTTTCTTTGGCACTGGAACTACATTAGCTAGCCATATGGTATACCGAACTACTCGGATCACCCCTGCTTTCAGCTGTTTTGTGACTTCTTCTTTGATCTGGTCACTGATGTCAGTTTTAAACTTTCTTTGCTTTTGCTGGACAGGGGGTAGTCGGGGTAAGTCGACAATTTATGAACTACCAAATCAACACTTAGTCTTGGCATGTCGTCATATGACTAAGCAAACACATCTTTGAACTCAAACAGGAGTTGGATTAATGCGTCCCGGATTTTTTCATCTGTGTGAATGCTTATCTTGGTTTCCCTAATTTCTTCAAAACTACCCAAATTAACTGGCTTGGTATCATTTAAGTTCGGCTTAGGTTTATTCTCAAATTGTTCCAATTCTCGATTGATTTCCCTAAAAGCATCTTCTTCATTATATTCCAGTTCTTGGTTCATTATTTCACAGTTAGACAACGTGTTTGGATCTGGGCATGAAGTTCACAAGCATGTCATGTTATTTAAAGTAGCATTATTAGAACTGAAAGAAGAAATAAAAGAGAAAAATAACCGAATCAGAAAGAATAAAGAAAGATGAACGATGAAACATTGATTTCATTTCATTGAATTTGAAGATAACAAGGTTTACATTGGACATTAAAAGATAGGAAACTAAAGAAAACATTCGAGTTACACCCTGGAATAACTCGTGATGCAGAAAAAGTGGCAAGACAGGTCTATTGGGACTCTCGCTTGATTGGGAATGGCATAACCTTCCAATTATGCAGTTTGGCATTAGGTCCCATATACAACACCTCAGCGGTGCTTGAGCCTTCCCCTGTTTGAACCATGTGGGCTTCATATAGTATCTTCCTCATGGCCCCACAGATTTCTTCGATTTCTCCGGCCGTAAAGGCCTTATCTTCCTCTTCCTCATTGTATTTTGGCTTGACAAATATTCTGTACAGATGCGGCACCGGCTGAGGCAAGACCCAACCAACATTCTTTCTATCATCTGCCTATCTTACATTAGTTGGAGTAGGTAAGAAGCCTACCCCAAAGAACTTTTCACTGGCGGTCAGAGTAATAGGTTTAGCTATTCCTTGCAATGATTTCCCAAGCCCTTTCCCAGGTTTGTAGCCGTGCCTGATCATTTCTTTGGCCACCATGATTGATGCATTAGAAAGGAAGGGTTTAGGGCAAGGTTTTTCTTCTTCGCACTGATCAGCGACCATGAATTCAAAGGCCTGATAGACTATGTGCTCACTCCCCTCTCTTGCTTCAAGATACGGGACTGATGGGTCCTGATAAATTGATTGCTCATCTTCCCTATGGACCACAATCTCTTGATCCTTGTGCTCTAACTTCACCATCTGGTGAAGAGTAGAGGGTATAGCTCCCGCTGCATGGATCCACGGCCTCCCCAAAAGAAAGTTGTAGAATGTGTCCATGTCCAGAACCTGGAAGGTTACTTCAAAGTCTACTGGGTCGATGGTCAGAATCAGATCAATCTCTCCAATTGTGTCCCTTTTGATACCATCGAAGGCACGTACACAGACGTTGTTGGGTCGGATTCTTTCGGTACTGATTTCCATATGCTGCAGAGTTGAGAGTGGGCAAATGTCTACCCCAGAGCCTCCGTCCAACATAACCCTTTTCACGTAGTACCTTTTGCATTTGACTGTCAGGTGCAGGGCTTTTTTTTGTGTGGCCCCTTCTGGGGGCAATTCATTTTTGCTAAAAGAGATCTGGTTGATTGCGAAAAATCTTTCGGCCATTCTCCCCAACTGCTCTACAGAAGTCTCAACAGGCACATATGCTTCGTTAAGGGTCTTGATCAATACCTTCTGATGTTCGGTGGAGTTCATTAACAGAGATAACAAGGAGACTTGTGCGGGAAATCTTTGAAGCTGGTCGATCACCTCATAATCCACCATTTTCATCTTTTGAAAGAAGGCCTCCGCTTCTTCGGCACTCATGGGCTTCTTAGATGGGAAGCGCTTTCCAGTGGCATTGTTCACCTCTTCCAAATTGAAATACTTTTCAGCCGGGTTATTTTCTTGAACTTCTCCTGAGATTTCTTTGCCTTTGTAAGTCACCACTGATTTATTGTAGTTCCAGGGCATAGCGGTAGGATCCGTCATGGGCTTTTGTGGTGCACAACTAATAACCACGGGCTCACTCAACCTTGGTGGATTAATTGGCCCCCACATCACATAAGCTCCCTTGGGCACATACATTTGGGTTGTCTTATTCAGCTCGAATCTCCTAGGAGGACTCAAAGTCATCTGCTTTTCTTTGCGGCCTCGAGGGACATGGAGGACAACATCTTTGTTAGGCGTTGCCCCAGTTTCAATTTCAACTTTCTTCTCTGACTTTGGAGGGGTGGTTTTGTTCTTTTTTTCCCCTTTGTCTTGCTTCGGGGCAGCCTTTGGTTTCTTTTCTACATCAAGTATGGCAATGATGGCCTTCAACGCTGGGTCAAATTCCTTGTCCTCACAAATCATTCCGATTACCGGCCCGTTGTTGTGGACCGGCAGTGGGTTGTTAGTCACATTGGGAATATCTTCATCCCTTAGCACTATCTTCCTTTGTTCTATCAAGTTCTCCACAGCTCTCTTCAGAGTCCAGCAATCATCCGTGTCGTGCCCTTCTGCCTCTGAGTGATAGGTGCATCAGGTACCAGCTCTGTAAGCGGGTGATGCTGGGTTTTGCTTGGTTCGAGGAACAGGCTGTAGCAGACCTATTTGAACAAGCTTTGGTAACAGGCTAGAGTAGGGTTCGCCAATTGGTGTAAAATTTGGCCTCTTGGGTGGTTCACGAGGGTGGAAATTATTTTGTGGAGGCCGGGGGTTGTAGTGGTTTTGGTAAGGAGGCTGGTTTCTAGAAAACGGAGCTTGCTTCCGGCTGGCTTGTTGTTGTGGCCGGACATAGGGTTGAGCATTCATGACCGTGTATGACTGAGGAGCATAAGCTACATCTTGGTGGGGGTAATAGTGCTGCGAGGTCCTTTCTAAGCAAAGGGATCTGGGAGTATGGTGTTTTCTTGCACCCGACACTGCCATGGATATTTCTTCCTTTTTCTTGCCCTTCGCTACTCCTCCAGACCCACCCTGAATGGCTTGGGAGGTAGCTCTGATGGCGGATTGGCTCAAGATTCGCCCTGTTTTTAACCCGTTTTCAACCATTTCGCCAATTTTGATGGCTTCGGCGAACGGCTTACCCATTGCGTACATCATGTTTTGAAAATAATCAGCCTCTTGAGCTTGGAGGAAGACCGTGACCATTTCAATCTCGTCCATTGGAGGCTTGCTCACGCCATTTGTCAGCGTACTCTCGGAAGCTTTCCGAGGATTTCTTCTTTAGATTTGTCAATGAGTTCCTATCAGGGGCAATATCAATGTTGTACTGAAATTGCCTGACGAAGTCCCGAGCAAGGTCATCCTAGATATGTCAACGGGATATATCTTGATCCATATACCATTCAGACGCGATTCCGATCAAACTCTCTCCGAAGTAGGCCATGAGGAGCTCCTCTTTTTCGCCTGCTCACTGCAATTCGTTGCAATATCTTTTGAGGTGGGCAATGGGATCTCCGTGCCTATTATATTTCTTAAACTTCGGGGTTTTAAATCCCAATGGTAGATGCACGTGAGGGAACATACATAAGTCGGCATAGAATACACTTTTTTGTCCACTCAAACCCTGTATGATTTTGAGACTCTGCTCCATGCTTCTCATCTTTCTCGCAATCTCCTCTTGCTCAGGGGTTTTGGTGGCTTTCTCTTGCCCTGCAGTGAACTCATACCGGGGTGGTTGGGAGTAAGTATAGGTGGGAAACTATGTAAGTTTCAGTGGGAAAGATGGTATTTGGAAGGTGAATGATGATGGGTCAAAGCTGGGCCTGGGTAGTGTAGGCTGTGTCGTAGCTGATCAAGGCGGAGCAGTGAAGATATTCGAAGCTGCACCTGAAGCTAACACCTGGGGGCGAGCCTCAGAAGGTGTTCCCACAAAGTTGGCAAAAATAGTAGGGTATCCTAGTGGGGTATTGGATAGTTTATGGGGATGTTGGAGGTCCCACTTGCCCTGGGAAAAAGCTCGGGAAATCCAGGGTCTGCACTTGGTGTTTCTCTTCCGTTTGCCCAGGAATCCCACATTTCCATCATGCAGAGACGCAATAACTTATTTTCCTCGACAACTACCGATTCTGAAGTTGGGATGCTCGAGATCGGACTCTCATCCGCAATAGGAACTGTTGGCAGAGTCATTTCTGAAGACATTTCAATGCTTCCCTTCGACCTCATGAAGTATGGATGCGAAGCCAGACTACCACAAAACCAACCACCTTTCTATAAAACCTGAGCTTACAGTAGACAACAAACCGGTCAGTTTGAAGCAAATAATACATAGGTAATTGCACAATGGGGTGTGATGCATCTATACAGTCAAATGCGTTTCTACGTGTTTCACAATGATTGCATGTTTCATCCCGGCTTTACTTGTTTTCCCTGATTTTCTCTTTCTTCCACTTCCCAATCTTCCACTTTTTTTTCGCTCTCTTTTCTCATTTTGTCCTTTGATTTTCCTTCGGCTCTCTTTTCTTCCTTTTGGGTTTTTCTTCTAGGTCTTTCTTTTCACATCCCTCTCTTATTGGGGTTATTTACAAAATCAATACCGGATCCGATGAGGATTTCCTACGTATCACGATGCTGCGTGAATCAGATCATTACGTGGTTCAAGAAAATAAATACGAAAAATAAAGAAACAATTTTTTTTGGGAATTTTCGATTTCATTAATAAAAACTCCTAAACTTTTTATTACAAAAGACTTCAAACTACTCATTTTCTTGGAAAAACTACGAACAGACTCAAAATAAACCAAAATACAAACTCGATAAGTGAAAAATCAGGAATACATTAAGGCTTTGACTCTTGGGGCCCGTGGGACATCATTCGGTCTCGCCACGGGCCTATATGCGAGATCCCCTTGAAGCCGCTCCAAATCACTCATTATCTGGCGGACAAATGTCATCGCTGCAGCGAAAAAAGTGGTTCGAGTCATGTCCTCACATGCTTGGCATTTCATGACAATGTAGTCAACAATGGCTCTAACCCTCTCTCGGATTCTACCCTTTTCCTGAAGCAGACGCCCAACCTGCTGATTCCTGGATTCTAATAACTGAGTATCGTGATGGTTTTGATTTTTCAATTGTTGCATTTCTTCCTCCATCTGAGCCATCAAAGCATAACAATGTTCCCTATCATCTTTAAAGTGTCTGGCCTGCCTGGCCGCCTCATTCTCAAGGGTAGTTAACTTTCTCTTCAGATTGGTGATTGTCCTTTCATATTTTCTTTTCATTTGATGCACAAACTGTGCGCGCTCTTCTGCATTCTTTGCCAATTGGGCCCGGACTTTTGCTAGACTGGCTTCAAACTTTTCTAGGTCATCTTGACACTCAAGTGCTTTCTTTCTCAGACTGCTTATAAGCCTTTCGCCCGCTCGGCTTCTTTTCAGGTTTCTAGCAGCTATTCTCATTTTCTGGATTTGAGCTTTGAGGGCTTCATTTTCCTGAGTTAGATTTTTCTTCTCCCCTTCATCTGCGACAGCCTGGATACTGTTGCCAAACTTGAGGTCCCTGATTTGTACCTCTAATTTACTTATTTTGGCCCTATAGCTTTCTTCTTTTGCCAACCAGCCCTACTGCTCTTGCGAGTCGTTGGTGAATTGTTGAACATGAGCTCTCTTAGCAGGTCTCTCAGGAATCTAGAACCTTTTACCGAACCAAATAATGTACTTGGGGTCTACTTCACCTCTAGCTAGATAATGCACCATATTCTTAGGTTCAAGAAATCTACATTCATTCCACACTTGGCGAACTCTTCCTTCCGAAAATACGGCCTTTGGGCCCAATTAGACGACATGTCCACTCAAATCTTTATCATGGGGGACAGTTTGAAATCTGGCCAATTGACGCAAAACCCTATGAGTAGCATATGGCTGGATGCTCTGGATGCCCATCAGGAGAAAATAACATACTTTGGCTGACATGTACACAACCTCGGTGACAGGGAGCCATCCGAACGCCCATTCAATTTTATCAGAAGTCAAAGAGCTCAAACGTGCCAACCAAGCCTCGGTACCCTCGGGAAATCCAACACCCACCACTCAGCTTTCAAATTCTTCGATGCAGTTCAAACCGGTCATGCCATAATTCATATACCCGGCCATGTGGCAGAGATGTTCCTGTATCCACAACTGTAGTAATAAGTTGCAACCTTGGAAGAACTTTCTGCCTTCTCGACAGATGGTCAAAGCTCGGTAAATTTCAGACAAAATCAGGGAACCAAAGTGCCATTAGCTTTCTTGATTGCGATGTCATCCATTCCCACTAGGCCCAGTTCAATGTTGTAGTCTTTTTGCGGACAGATTATAACTCCCAAGAATGCTACTATAAAGACCAAGCCAAACCTTGCCTCCCATTTATCTTTATTTGCAGCATGAGTCAAACCAGTGTTTGGTGCTTCAAAGCCTTGGGGGTTACCATAACGTTGGTACAAGAACTGGAAAGTGCATGACCCTTCAGATAAATTCTTATCCTAGATATCCCCGCTAATACTCAATATAAACAAAAACTTGTAGGGAGATACCGGCCTTGGTGACACTGGATACCGATTTCTAAGATTTCCATTAAGGTCGGCATAACCCGCAATTTCTTCTAGTGTGGGTGTGAGCTCAAAATCAGAAAAGCGGAACACATTTCGAGTTGGATCCCAAAAAGGTATCAAGGCTTCAATTATGTCCAATCTTCGCTTGATGTTCAATAGTGCGACAAACCACCCAATACTTTAATCACAGTTCCTCTACTGCCTTTTCCCAAATCATTCCACCATATATGAAGTTGCAAGGGGATTTCCTCAAGAGCTGCGAAGGGTTCATTTTCGTTTGTGCTCATCCTGCACATTTATTAGGGTGATTTAATAACTCATTTTGACTCAAGAAAAGATTAACACACTTCTTTTTTTTCCAAAAGTTTTCATTCCAAAAACAAAAATCTGGCTTTGCAAATACGGTCTTTCAGCACTTCGTGGAAGAATATTTTAAGGTTGTACTCGACAACTGGTCAAAAATTTGAAAAAGAGACCACAGGCGGTTGTTCTTGCAAAAACAGCCTTCCGGCGCCCTTTTGGGGACATTCGGCTATTTTAGACAAGAATGACATCACCTTACTTATTAACAGTAAAAACAATAATATTTTTGTTCTTTTAGGGCTATTTTTGCAAAAGGGGAAGTTGGACCCAATGAGGGTTGCCTACGTATCCCACATCCGGTGAGAATCAAACTGGCGTAGTTCGGGAAACCAACTATTTTTGAAAACAAGATTTTCTTTCCCTCTTTTTTTTCTTCAAAATTTTGGCAATGTTTCAGTACCTTTTGGACATTGGTTTTCAAAATAGATAATTATCTCTCTAAGCCCTCAAATTGATTTTTTTCTTTTTCCAACTTTCTCCTATTATTTTAAAAGCCGGTCAACATGCAAATCCGAAGAAAATAAATACACAAGTAGCAAGTAGAATGTATCAGGATGGTCTTTTCATTTCAGGTACACCTGTCCTAGACAGACCCAACCCCTGTGTTGAGTCTCCAAAGTCAAATGCACGTGATGCAAACAAACGTTCCTACTAGGGATCCGGCATGAGGTTTTGTTATACTAGGTTTAAAATCCTGGGTGTATTATTCTAGACTTGGCTTACCTGAGCGGACAACTCAAGCCGAGGGGGGCAGCGTACCGGGAATACAGAAACTTCACTGGCTTTGCAACTTGTCTGAACCTCGTTCTAAAATTGGATAAGACTCTAAACAGAAGAGAAGTTACACGAAGTGCACACTCCCCAAATGATTTAGAAGACTCAGAGAGAAGAAGGGTTTCGTAGCAGTTTATGTACAATTCACCAAATATCAAAGCGGTAAAAGCGGCAATTAGCACATTAGGCTCAAACATGTAGAAAATCAGATAATAGATAAAGCCAATCATAACAACTATTCTAAGCTCGAATTCTTAAACCCTGAACCGAAGTTCTGGGTTTGGTTCCCCAGCAGAGTCGCCAGAGCTATCGCACCTCCTTTATTACATACCCGAAGGTAGTACAAGGGAGTTTTTCCATTTTAAGTGACATTATTCGAAATGAAATTATTTTATTTATTTTATTCAGAGTCGCCACTTGGGATGGTTTGCTTTCTGGTGTCCCAGGTCACCGATTTATTTTAAAATCCCAAATCGAGGAAAATTCGACTTTCCTTTTGAAGTTTGCGAACCAGAAATTATAAATAAGGAATTCTGTTAACCTGAGAGAAGGTGTTAGGCACCCCCGGATTCCGTGGTTCTAGCACAGTCGCTTAAACTATTACAATTGGCCTATTATCTGATATTAATACATGTTTTAGCCTATGGTATATTTTTAAACTTATTACCCGCTTTTAGGAAGATTCAACATTATTTAAAACATGACTTGAACCACGCCACATGAAATGCACCCGTGATTAGCGACACCTTCTATTTAACGTTGTTGATATTTGGATTTGGGTCACATGAAATGCACACCCGAGATTAGGAAAGTAATTTTTAATAATAGCGCGCCTAAAGCAACTACGCACTTTCAACTTTGCGAGGGCCATAGAAAATTCAACTAAATGGTGCACCTCGATTTATAAGGATTAATTAAGTGAGAGTTGTGCATTTTGAGATTTTTTATTCGGCACGGCGCACCTAGATTCCAGTTCTAAAAGGAACTTGAACTAAATTTTGGAGGGCCATAATCTATGTCTTGCCTAATATAGCACGCTTCCAATCTACTTGTCTAAAAATCAATCGAAATGTTGAGGGCCATAAACTAATTGTTTTATCTACTACAGATCCCCTCAACTATTAACAAAATCTAATTAATAACACTAGGTGAATTGAGATTTTACCTCTTTTGCTTTTCAAGTCCAACATTGATACTAGTTTAAAGAAAAACTTGTGTCGAAGAAAGGAGACAGATTTGGTTGTTTAAAGAAGAATGGCTCGTGCCATCTTCAGCAGCAAAACAAAATTGAAACGGGCGAGCCCAACATGAGAGGCCTGCATTTCAACTTTATGCAGCCTCATGAACCGAGGCCCAAAGAGTAGCCTAGCTCTTTTAAAAACTAAAGCCTGAAGAGGGGAAGACTCAAGTTCGAGTCTCCAGGCCTGTAAATGGCGTACCAGATCCGGAATATTACCATGAACTTAGCAAGGGTTTTAATAACACAAAAATCAATTGAAAATCATGCTTGAATCAGTCCAATGAGTTTCAGAAGACACTTATGAGATTTCCACTTGACTTAAACCTTCTGTTCAATATATACAATTAACGAAACGAGATATTATGGGATTATTCAATAAACAGACATGAATCTATCTCCAAACTAAGCATGTTTAACACATCACAAGCAAATAAGCACATAGCTTGACCCCTAGGCTATTTCCTTTCCTTTTGAACGTGACTTTATACTAATCAACACCTAAGAAGTAATCAGTTACCCATTGTATGAACATAGTATTATATTATAACATCCACTTGAATTGCATAGTAGGAGAGATCTGATACAACATACCCTACTTAAATAGAAATGAACACAAAGTCCAACTACTGACTCGATTAACAGGATTTCATCAAGCTTTTGTGACAGTTCGAAATTAGGTACAAAAATAAAGTTCAATTATCACAAACTAACACCTAACTATATGATATTTGATAAAAATGGCTTCCTACCAGATACAAACCAAGTACAACTCCTAAAAGAGTCTTACAAACAACCAGCAAGATACAGTGCATCGAATAAACTCAGAATCATGTAATTCAGGAGAAATGAAGCTAAACTAATAAATCAGAACATGTTGAAGACATGCTTTAAACTTCCAGGTTTCACTTCATACTTCAAACCAAAGCTTCACATGAGGTAGGATTCAGAAAACATGTACCTGGGAATAAGGGGAAAGCAAAAAAAAAGTAAGGAATCAGTAGACAAGCAACAATTGAAGTCAATTCAGATCTCAGCAATGCAACAGTTACCCCAGCAGCACAACTCAAAAACCAAACTTTAAAGAACCCGAACTCAAGCCATTATAACCAAGGTGCAAGACTTTGACATTTTCAGAAGCTTTAACTGACCAAACGAAATTATAAGACTCAAAATAAGCAGAATTTGAGCAATTTTCAAACAAATGGTGCAGGGAATTTAGAACTTTTCTCAAAGAATTTAGTCGTTTCAGCTTTCAGTATTTTTAATCCCTCAAATCTGCCTTGAACCTGAAGAAAAGGTGCCTTTATAGGCAAGCTTTTAGGGCAGCAGAATAAATTCAGTTATTTCACTTTAAACCTTTTGATATTTCCATTTTTGCTCAAATACCCTTAGCTTAAACAATCAATTTTCAAAATAGTCCCAATCTCAGCTTCTAGGAAGCTTCCTTATTCAGTTATTGAAGATTCCCTGACTAAAATAACCCTTAACACCCCTGTTTTTACTTCATCATACCAAGCAGATATGGGTGAAATAGAACCCAGGTTCAGCCGGACATGGGCTCACCTGACCCAATAACCTAAACCACTCTTCTAAAGTGGGTCTAAAAGGGCCTCAAAACCCAAACAACAAACATGACCCAAACCAAATCATTGTTTTATGACAAAAAAAGAAAACAAAGCTTAAATAATTTCCGAAAACTAAAATNAAATGATTTCCGAAAACTAAAACCTAAGCTAAGTGACTAATTAATAACACAAATAGGCATGTAATTAACTAATTTATTAAATCAAAATGACCTAACCAAATTAAATTGTGTAATCAAAACAGAAGGCAAAATCAGAGGTTTAAAACATGACATTAATAAAACTAGACAGATCACTGAAAATCAGAGAACAAACTTTTTAAGATTTGAAAAAGAAAACTAAATGGAACAAACGAACACCACTCAATCTAGGCTCACATAATTGGTCGAGTTTCAACCAAAGAAAAAGGAGAAGAAAAGAAGAGGAATAAAAGGTGAAGTAAAACTAAAATGAACAGAAAAATGAAGGGAACTCGCCGACTAGGCTCGAAGTCGATACTGGCATTCTGAGTTAGCCCAAAACAATGTCAATCGCTTGTTCTTGGTCAAGAACAAGCGAACGTCATTATTTTGTGATAAAACAGCCTTGAACAAATAGGAAATTCGGAGGAGTAACCTTGCATGCACAGGTTCGATTTTAAGCTTTTAGGGCTTGAACTCAAATTCAAGATTCGACAAGTTCCGGACAGATTCAAAGGAAAGGGGTGTCAGATTTGGTATGAGGAAGCCACGAGGGTTTTGGGGTGTGGATTTGAGGTGGTTTGGAGGTGGCGCCGCTGGCCCAAGGTGGTGTAGAACCAAGGCGGTGCTAGGGTTTTCTGTTTTGGGTCTCTGAAGAAGGTGGGTTGAGAGAGATGAGACGGGGGGGTGAGGGTGCAGGGCGTTTGGACAGTTATATATCAGAGGGGACTCAGTTCCGGGCCGTCCGATCAAGTGAGATCGACGGTCCTGATTTAAAGGCGCGAAACGACGTCGTTTGGATCTCTAGTGGGGCAGACCGGTTTTTAGAACGGGTTTTGGGCCGTCTCTGGTTGGGTTTGGACGGGTATTGGGTATTAAACAATTGGGCTTGGAAAATTTAGAAGGACTTGACCCAAATCAAACTTCCCTCTTTTGTTTTTCTTTTTTCTTTTAATTTCAAAATTATTTTAATTCCTTTTCTTTTTACAAAAATAATAATAAAAACCTAACTTAATTCCTAACCCAAATTATCCAACCAAATTAAATTAATTAATTAAATAAATGCCAAATTAAAAGAAAACTAACAAAATTCAAAACTAAAAAAAAAATTAAAAATGCAAAAATAGGTTATTTTTGTGATTTTTCCATTTTTGTGCAACAAGTTAATTTACTAATTAATTTAAAAATGTAAAATTAAATCCTAAATGCAAATGCAATGTATTTTTATAAATTAAAAATAAAATTAAACATGCACACAAAGAATGCAAATAATTAGAATTTTCTACAATAATTTCTAAAATAACAAATAATCAAAAGAAAAAAAAATCAAATTTTAGAATTCTGTAAGAGTAATTTAGGTGAGGCAAAAATCACATGCTCACAATAAAATGCCATATTTTTCAACGAAATAAAAAAAAATATAGCGGGAAAGGAGTAGTAAATAATTGGGCATAACTGCACAAGTTTTGGATGGATCTAGTCTAGTTTTAATTATTTTGTTTAAGAAGAGAAATTACTAAGTAATTAATGCAAAATTAAGAAATGTTAAATGTAGAGAGACCCCTTACCCCCTTTCTCCCCTCACCCCACTAACAATAATTGTACCTGGCAAGTACGTCTATCTGTACCTCTCAACTATCCCTTCTTTCCTTCAACTCCCAATTACTCCATCTATATAAAGACACGCCCACACTCTTTCTCTCCAACCTCCCTCAACTTCCCCACACACTTAATTCTCATTTATATTTCAAGTAATTAGTATTCCTTTTTAATTTTCTCCTCCAAAATGAAGAAACTCATTCGACGTTTATCGCGCGTGGCTGATTCCTCCTCCAACTACTCCTTGCTCCGTTCCGAATCCCGGTCGGCGTCGCGTCCACGTCGACTCCAATCGTTCCGAACTGGAAAGCTCAGATCCGGCCCCGGAGTTCCTGAAGGACACCTCCCGGTTTACGTCGGCGATGAGATGGAGAGGTTTATCGTTAGTGCTGAGCTTCTTAACCATCCGATCTTCGTCGAGCTGCTTAATAAATCTGCTCAGGAATACGGTTACGAGCAGAGAGGTGTTCTTCGGATCCCCTGCCATGTTCTCATCTTCGAACGAGTACTTGAGGCTCTTCGACTCGGTGATGACCTCCAGGATCTTCTCAGTGCTCTTTCCGATGACTTACTTTAGCGTTAGCTGTGTGGAAGATAGATATTTCTCTTTTTTTTTCTTCCTTTTGCTCTACTTTTTTCTTTGCTACTACTAAAAACACTGGGAGTTGCGGTTAGGTAGAGCAGATCTCGACGATACTATTAGTTAAGGGATCGTTTTTTCTCTAGTTTTCCCCTTTTTGAATCGTGTAAATATTCTGTGATGGAAAAGGTGGAGGAAGAGAATTTCAGGAAAGTAGAAACACGAAATGTGATTGACATATATACTACTGGAGTACATTTTTGTTATATCTGTCTTATTTTTTCCTTTCAATTTTGTTGTTTCTGAATTGATTGCTAGTTAGATGAATTCTTACAAGTAGGCAATTCATCAGAATTGATAACTTTTTTCGAAACGTTGGCTCTCTGATCGAGTGCTGAGTTTGGCCGGATATTTGCGTGATTTGCGGTAGGTGGAGGGGCCTATCTGTAATTCTCGAGATTCGCGGCCAAATTTCATTCTCATCCAGCCCTAATTTTGAGTATGATGTAATTACATGTTTGGATCTGTAAAAGTTAGGGGCAGTTCCATAATTTGAAGATACCAACTCATATTAACAAAAAAATAATGAAAGATTTTTGAAATTTGTGGTCCTAAATAAGTTAAAATGGAGCCCGGAGTATTTGTGCATTTATAAAAACTTCTTATTAACGGTAGAATTGGAAATTTAAGCTAAATTGTTTCTAAATTTAGAAAAGGATCATTTTTTGAAATATACTAAAAGGAAATAGATTCACATAAATCAGAACGGGAAGAGTATTAGGGAATTGGGTTATATATATAATTCTGGGGAGTTGAAGAGTCAGGGACTCGAAGCAGTAACCTTTCCCACCTGGACTCTTAACCTACTGGCAGGCAATGTACTAATTCTGAATCTAATTAATATTTGAAACATTAAATTCTTAGCCTACATTATTCAATTTTTGATAATTTATCAAATGTTATCCCAAAACCTCGTTAAGTTAAGGAAATCAGAAGAAAAGAAAACATCGAGGTTTTGGGCTTTTGGCGTATCTCTTCCATCTTTTTAAGAAAGATTTTGCGACAATCATTTCCTAAAATATGTAGAATTAGAATGCCGGAGGAGATGATCAGAATCATTATTAGGGAGTCAATATACTCCCTCCTCTCATTTTTAGTTGTCACGTATACTAAAAATAAATTTTTATTTTTACTTATTACTTTTCGCATATCAAGAAAAAAATAATTTTTTCTATTTTGCGGCTATCATTAATTGCTCATTTCAAATCATTCCAATTATTAAGAATATACACCAATTAATATTGGTATGATGGTAAATTATGATACTTTATTTATTACTCCATCGTTTCAGTTTATGTGAACCTATATCCTTTTTGGTCAGTACCAAAAAGAATAACCCTTTCTAAATTTGAAAACAATTTAGCTTAAACTTACAATTCTAACCTTAATGAGAAGTTTTATAACCACACAAATACTCTGGGCCCTTTTTTAACTTGTTGACCACAAATTCCAAAAGTGTTTATTTTTTTATAAATTTCGCACCCAGTCAAACATATTCACATAAATTGGAACAAATGAAGTATTTCTTTAAGGGACGTGCAAAATCAATAATAGACAAGTAAAAGTGAGCAGAGGGATAACGAAAGAGTGATTGTGGTTAGACAGGATACCATATTATAATTGATCAGTCATATGGAAAGTAAAAGTAGAGAGAAAATTGTAGCACTTAAGGATACCAAAACCACAACTCTGAATAGTGTGACTGATTTTACAAAGGTTTTCGTGAAACTAGCTTAACAATAAAATACGTGTATTGGTCAAAATCTGACCATCACGATCAGGTCGCCCACTATCCCATGCCGAGTAACTGTGAAAGCCAATAGATCTTGTTCCATTTCTCCTCTACGACATTCTATAAGTCAAAAAGAGTAATGTTTAAAAATAAGACCAGGACATATTGACAATAAGAAAGTGTCAAGTCAAGCAATGAGCAAAGGGATCTCGACTATATATAGCCAGAGAACTCTCAACAAGAGGGGGGCTGGGCCATTCTCCAAAAAGGGAGGACAAGAAGCCTCTTCCTGGTATTCTTAGAAAATGGGAGAAATGATCTCAATGAACCCTTATAAATCTACTCTCTCATCAGTAAGTGAGGAAAACGATATTTAAAATTAATAAGATCGATCATGTTTCTTTCGTTTCATATGCGTTCATTATCACTAACGCTTCGATCTGAAGTTAATTATCTTTGGCTAAGATTTACCCCTTCATCTTTGATTGAGTTGTCCAAAAGGTCTTAACATCTTTAGAGTCAAATAATTTGGTGCCGTCAGTGGAGATTACTTAGTGAAAACTCCTAGTTTTCCCATATCAAAGCTGTGAAGCACATTCATTCGCCGAAAGAAGCACGAAGGGAGAATCTCAATCACAAGAGACATGGGAACAACGCGGTAAAGGAAGGAGAGCCGAGTGGGCTTACCCAACCTGGAATTCCTCGCCCCATCAACTGCAAATATTCTAAACAAGGCGAACGGTGCTTCAGAACCAGCTCTCCCCCACTGAACTACCGGAGGGAAGCGAAGAAAATCTCACCTTCACCGCCCACACTTCATCAGGGCAAGCACATAAGATCCGCATGGACGAATGAACACAAGGACATCTAGATTGAAAAAAAAACTACTTCAATACAACCGAAAACCTCCCTATCGGCAGCATCTCCGAGCTGAACGACCGGAGTCAGACAAGAAAATTATAATGCGCGCACAACACAAGCCTATTCGAAACGTTGAGGCCTCTCCTCCACCGGCATTGTACTATCTGATCCAAGCAATACCAGGCAAACTGGGATTCCTGCGAAAAATACCCAACTCTCTAGAAATTGGGACTAACGACGGGCCATTATTTCGATAATTTCGAAATAACACCCTTCAAGGTTAGGGCCTTCTCCATAAAAAAAGAAAGGTTCGACCTAGATCGAACGACGACGGGCCATTATTTTGATAAGTTCGAAATAACACCCTTGAAAGCCAGGGGCCTTCGCCATCAAAAAAGAAAGGTTCGACCTAGATCAAACGACGATGGGCCGTTATTTCGATAAGTTCGAAATAACACCCTTCAAGGTTAGTGCCTTCTCCATAAAAAAAGAAAGGTTCGACCTAGATCAAACGACGATGGGCCGTTATTTCGATAAGTTCGAAATAACACCCTTCAAGGCCAGGGGCCTTCGCCATCAAAAATGAAAGGTTCGACCTAGATCGAACGACGACGGACTATTATTTCGATAAGTTCGAAATAAAACCCTTCAAGGCCAGGGGCCTTCGCCATCAAAAAAAGAAAGGTTCGACCAAGATCGAATGACTACGGGCTGTTATTTTGATAAGTTCGAAATAACACCCTTCAAGGCGAGGGCCTTCTCCATCAAAAAAAGAAAGGTTAGACCTAGATCGAACAACAATGGGCCATTATTTCGATAAGTAAGAAATAACACCCTTCAAGGCCAAGGGCCTTCACCATCAAAAAAGAAAGTTTTGATCCTAGATCGAACGACGATGGACTGTTATTTTCATAAGTTCGAAATAACACCCTTCAATGCCAAGGGCCTTCACCATTAAAAAAAAGGTTCGACCTAGATGGAACGACGACGGGCCGTTATTTCGATAAGTTCAAAATAACACCCTTCAATGCCAGGGGCCTTCGCCATCAAAAAAGAAAGGTTCGACCTAGATCGAACGACGACGGGCTGTTATTTCGATAAGTTCGAAATAACTCCCTTCAAGGCCAGGGGCCTTAGCCATCAAAAAAGAAAGGTTCGACCTAGATCGAACGACGACAGACCGTTATTTCGATAAGTTCGAAATAACACCTTTCAAGGCCGGGGGCCTTCGCCAGCAAAAAAAAAGTTTCAACCTAGATCGAACCACGATTGGGCTGTTATTTTGATAAGTTCGAAATAACACCCTTCAAGGCCAGGGGCCTTCGCCATCAAAAAAGAAAGGTTCGACCTATATCGAATAATGACGGGCCGTTATTTCGATAAGTTCGAAATAACACCATTCAAGGCCCGGGGCCTTCGCCATAGAAAAAGAAAGGTACGACCTAGATTGAACGACGACGGGCTGTTATTTCGATAAGTTCGAAATAACACTCGTCAAGGCCAAGGGCCTTCGCCATCAAAAAAGAAAGGTTTGACCTATATTGAACGACGACGGGCTGTTATTTCAATAAGTTCGAAATAAAACCCTTCAAGTCCAGGGGCATTCACCATCAAAAAAGAAAGGTTTGACCTATATTGAACGACGACGGGCTGTTATTTCAATAAGTTCGAAATAAAACCCTTCAAGTCCAGGGGCATTCACCATCAAAAAAGAAAGGTTCGACCTAGATCGAACGACGAAGGGCCGTTATTTCAATATGTTCGAAATAACACCCTTCAAGGCCAAGGGCCTTCGCCATCCAAAAAATAAGTTTCGACCTAGATCGAACGATGACGAGCTGTTATTTTGATAAGTTCGAAATAACACCCTTCATGGCCAGGGGCTTTCGCCATCAAAGCAGAAAGGTTCGACATATATCGAACGACGATGGGCCATTATTTCGATAAGTTCGAAATAACATCCTTCAAGGCCAGGGGCATACACCATCAAAAAATAAAGGTTCGTCCTAGATCGAACGACGACGAGCCGTTATTTCAATAAGTTCGAAATAATATCCTTCAAGGCCAAGTGCCTTCGCCATCAAAAAAGAAAGTTTCGACCTAGATCGAACGATGACGGGCTGTTATTTCAATAAGTTCGAAATAATACCCTTCAAGGCCAAGTGCCTTCTCCATCAAAAAAGAAAGTTTCGACCTAGATCGAACGACGACGGGCTGTTATTTTGATAAGTTCGAAATAACACCCTTCAAGGCCAGGGGCCTTCACCATCAAAAAAGAAAGGTTCAACCTAGATAGAACGACGACGTGCCGTTATTTCGATAAGTTCGAAATAACAACCTTCAAGGCCAGGGCCCTTCGCCATAAAAAAAGGTTCGACCTAGATCGAACGACGACGGACTGTTATTTCGATATGTTCAAAATAACACCCTTCAACGCTAGGGGCCTTCGCTATCAAAAAAGAAAGGTTCGACCTAGATCGAACGACGATGGGCTGTTATTTCGATAAGTTTGAAATAACACCCTTCAAGGCCAGGGGCATTCGCCATCGAAAAAGAAAGGTTCTACCTAGATCGAACGACGACCGACCATTATTTCAATAAGTTCGAAATAAC